TCGCAGATGAGGTGCCAGGAGTCCTTGGTGCCCCGCGGAGCGATGCGGCGCCCGATGGACGCGTGGCTCAGAGCGCAGCCCTGCTCGCCGAACGACGCGAACCTACAGCCGGGCTCGACGGACGGCTCGCGGTCCGCCAAATTCGACGCGTCCCAGAGCGGCTCGAACATGCCGTTGAGGAAGGACCCGCCCCGGTGGAGCTGGAAGCCGTCGAAGGCCTCGACGACGTCGACGGCGACGCCGTCGCCGAGCGCCTTCGGCGCGTCCTCGAGGAAGGCCTCGAGGCGGTCCGTGCGCCGCTTGAGATTGATGAGGCTCACGCCCGACGTGAATAAAGTCGTCGCGTCCCAGGGCACCTTCTCGCGCGGCGCCGCGCCCTGGGGCGCCGCGCCCTTGGGCGCCGCGCCCTTGGGCGTCGGCCGCGGGCCCCGCGCCGGCTTCCGCCGCGGCGGCCGCGGCGGCGCGGGCCTGTCCGCGAAGTCCGCCGCCGCGGCGTCGAAGGTCAGCACCGACGGCCGCTCGCTGATCATCAGCGACGTCCGCTCCGTGCAGGCGCTGAAGCGCGACGGCGACAGGCTCTCGGCCAGGCTCTTCTGCGGCAGCGCGAAGGGCTCCGGCTCGGGCTCCGGCTCGGGCTCCGGCGGCTCGGCGATGACGACCTGGATGGCCTTGACGGGACTGCGCTCCGCCATGGCGTCCAGCGTGCCCATGCCGAGGCCCAGCGGCTCCGCCATGCTGGGCTTCCTAGTACGGAGAGCACATCGTGATCATGAAACGCTCGGGTAAATGTGTGGTTCAACATGATCAATTCGCAAAATGGCTTGTGGTGAAAGGCCGAGCCCTAGCTGCTGATGCCCGTCACGTTCCAGCCGCTGTCGGCCTGGCGGCCCGGCCGCGCCGTCGTCCACGTCAAAGGCTTCGCCGATCGGCTCGACTATTCCAATGCCGCCGTCGCGGCGTGCGCCGATGCGCTGCTCGCAGCCCTGCGAGACCGCGCGGCGCAGCACGCGCAGCTCGCCGTCGCCTTCGACGGCGACGACCTCGCGGCCGGGAGCTTCACCGACGTCGTGCGGCGCGCGCACGAGGAGCTCGGGCTGCCGCTCGTCGCCTTCAAGTACGAGCGCGAGCGCGCCGCCTTCGAGCGGTCCTGGCGGGACCGGCCCGTCGAGTGCTTCCTCGCGCCGGAGCCGCCGGACGGGTTCGACGGATGCCGCTACGCGCGCCTGGGCCTCGCCGCGCTCGAGGCGACGGGCGCCGCCGAGGCGCTGTGCCTCGGCGGCGGACCCGTCGCCGCGCGGGAGCTCCGAGGCTCGGACGCGCTGCCGCCGCCCGCGCGGACCTTCGTCCTCTTCCCGGCGACGCGGCCCGGAGCGTCGGGCGGCGTCGAAGCGAGCGCGCTCCTCGAGCACCGCGCCTCGCCGCGCCTCGTCGTCGTCGACGCGGCCGCGCCGCCGCCGCCGCCGCCGCCGCTCCGGCTCTCGAGCGCGGACGCCGTCGTCAAGCTCTCGCGCCTCGCCGGCGCGGGCCTCGGCCTCTTCGCGGCGCGCCGCTTCGCCGTCGGCGAGGTGCTGCTCGACTACGGCGGCGAC